TTTAAACGGTCACACCAATGGATATGTTCACTAAATTTTCAACTTTTTATTACTGGTAGATGATGGTGTAGTAATATAGTTGAAACTCAGGGTTACTTGTTGGATTTTGATCTCCCAAGATATTCTGGATATGAATATTCTTGTTTAATCTGTCAAACGTTATATTGAAAGTTTGTTGCACTTCACCTGTTTGTTGTCTAATAGCAATGCTGGAAATGACTTTTATCAACTGTTGCAAAGCTAGATATTAAACTGTCCAGAATGTTTTAAGTAGTTCTTTGTTTTGCAAGTATTGATAATCTTGTTAGTGATAAGTGGGCAACTTACTCCCTGCTTAGAGCATTGACCTGTAACCAGATGTTGGAACTTGAAAATAAAACTTTTGATCTTCATCATCAAATGATGTCCATTTTGATTTTTGTTTTTGCTTTTTTGTTTGGTTAGTCAGAGTTGTGATTGTAAGTGGATGTTCTGAGAGCCACCCTGCGGCAGTTTCTCCATAATCCCTCATTGTTAAACCCATCTATCTTGAATAAGATAGATTTGATTTCTTTACATGCAACCTGATGCCTTGTCACCCTTTTCAAGAAAAGTCATTGAATTCCTTTTTTTTTCAGAAAATGCAAGTTGAGGCTTTTATTGTGCTTTCCACAGCCTTTCAGCATACCAAAGCGTTTTACATTGATTTGAATACTGTTGCCACAGGTGGAGAAAAATGCAGTAACCAATTTTTTTTCTTTCTTTTGCATCCTCCTTTTCTTCATTCCACCAATAGCAGCTGGATCCAAAATTCAATATTTTCTTGAAGATCTCAATCCTTTTTTTACCATGTCTTTCAAACTCTCCTTTTTCCAAAAAAAAGCCCAGGTGTGCATTTAGTCTATCTTTAACGATGTTCTATACTTACTTGTGTCTTCTGGGTTAGAATCATACAGTGCAGAAACAGACCCTTCAGTCCAACTTGACCTTGCTGAACAATGTTTCCTAAACATAACCAGGTGATGGTTACCATCTGGTTTTTAAAATGATCTGCACATTATCTGGCATTGATTTATAGTCAGTGAAAGGTCAGATGTTTGTAATTACTTCACCCAGCTATGGATTGTTTGGCTGGAAATAACTTCCTATTTAAAGCATTCTCAGTCACTGCCATGGGAAGCAGCACTAATGTCTACTGGCCTTGAGCAGAGTTTCCTCTGTATTTCTCAATGCATGCTCCCAGGGTAATGGGTTACCTTCTGCATAAAGAACAAAGAAAATTACAGCACAGGAAAAGGCCCTTTGGCCCTCCAAGCCTGCGCCGATCCAGATCCTCTATCTAAACCTGTCGCTTATTTTCCAAGGATCTGTATCCCTCTGCTCCCTGCCCATTCATATATCTGTCTGGATACATCTTAAATGACGCTATTGTGCCCACCTCTGCTGGCAACACGTTCCAGGCACCCACTACCCTCTGTGTAAAAGAACTTTCCACACATATCTCCCTTAAACTTTTCCCCTCTCACCTTGAAATCGTGACCCCTAGTAATTGAGTCCCCAACTCTTGGGGGGGGGGGGGGGGGGGGGCTTGGTGGTGGAGAAAAGCTTCTTGCTATCCACCCTGTCTATACCTCATGATTTTGTAGACCTCAATCAGGTTTCCCCCCTCAACCTATGTCTTTCTAATGTAAATAATCCTAATCTACTCGACCTCTCTTCATAGATAGCGCCCTCCATACCAGGCAACATCCTGGTGAACCTCTGCACCATCTCCAAAGCATCCACATCCTTTTGGTAATATGGCGACCAGAACTGTACGCAATATTCCAAATGTGGTCAAACCAAAGTCCTATACAACTGCAACATGACCTGCCAACTCTTGTACTCTCTAGCCCATCTGATGAATGAAAGCATGCTGTATGCCTTCTTGACCACTCTATCGACCTGCGTTGCCACCTTCAGGGTACAATGGACCTGAACACCCAGATCTCTCTATGCATCAATTTTCCCCAGGGCTTTTCCATTTACTGCATAGTTTGCTGTTGAATTGGATCTTCCAAAATGCATCACCTTGCATTTGCCTGGACTGAACTCCATCTGCCATTTCTCCGCCCAACTCTCCAAGCTATCTATATTCTGCTGCATTCTCCGGCAGTCCCCTTCACTATCTGCTACTCCACCAATCTTCATGTCATCTGCAAACTTGCTAATCAGACCATCTATACCTTCTTCCAGATCATTTATGTATATCACAAACAACTGTGGTCCCAACACAGATCCCTGTAGAACACCACTGGTCACAGTTCTCCATTTTGAGAAACTCCCTTCCACTTCAACTCTGTCTCCTTTGCCTAGCCAGTTCTCTGCATCTAGCTAGTACACCCTGTACCCCATGCGACTTCACTTTCTCCATCAGCCTACCATGGGGAACTTTATCAAACGCCTTACTGAAGTCCATGTAAATGACATCTACAGCCCTTCCCTCATCTATCAACTTTATCACTTCCTCAAAGAATTCTATCAAGTTGGTAAGACATGACTTTCCCTGCACAAAACCATGCTGCCTATCACTAATGAGCCCATTTTCTTCCAAATGTAAATAGATCCTATCCCTCAGTATCTTCTCCAGTAGCTTCCCCACCACTGCCGTCAGGCTCACTGGTCTATAATTACCTGGATTATCCTTGCTACCCTTCTTAAACAAGGGGACAACATTAGCAATTCTCCAGTCCTCCGGGACCTCACCCATGCTCAAGGATGCTGCAAAGATATCTGTTAAGGCCCCAGCTATTTCCTCTCTTGCTTCCCTCAGTAACCTGGGATAGATCCCATCCGGACCTGGGGACTTGTCCACCCTAATGCCTTTTAGAATACACAACACTTTCCCCTGCCTCCTTATTACTTCAATAGCACCCTTTTACTGTAACAAAGTGACACTTTTAAAGTTTTTCCAACTGCCTGAGTTTTGTGAGCAGTTAATTCTGAATCAGCACTTGTAGGATCAGCGTTCAGAATCACCCCTGATTTAGGGAGTATTATTACAGCCTAGGCTGGTTTTGATGATCACAAGGGTGGTGCAAACAGTCACTCACTGAGCTGGGCCTAGGTGTGTGTGTGTGTATATTCAAGGCTCTGGTGTGGAGTTTGAAACTTCAACTTTCTCAAAGGTGTGAGTGCTCTGAGTTGAGCAATCGCTGAGAGATGGTTTTTCCTGATGTTGCTCTTTATGTGCTTTTTGAAAGCAGCAACTTATGTCAAAGGCACATTTTTAATGCAGGAGAGGAGCAAGTATCATTGAAAGACCTTTTCTATAAGCATCCAAGAATCTGTACAAAAGTTAAATTATTGACTGTTCCCTCACGACTTCTTTAGTTTATTGTTTCAATATATCGTGTCTCATCCTCTCTAATTGCTTCTGCCTCTGGGGCACTATATATGTCTAATCCTACATAACTATTGTACTGGGATTTGATTTATTGTTTTCACATGTATTAAGATAGTGAAAAGCATCATTTAGCATAGCCAAACAAATCATTATCTTTACATTAGTACATCTGGTAGTAACAATGCAGAATATGGTGTTGCAGCTACAGAGAAGGTGTAGAGAAAGAGCAACTCCAGTATATGAAATGTCTGTTCATAAGTCTAATAACAGGGGAAAAGTTGGTATGTGTTTGCAAACTTTTGCATCTTCTGTCTGATGGATGATGTTGGAGTATATCTGGGGTGGAGGAGGAATCTCATTATGTTAGTTACTTTCCTGAAGCAGCAGGAAGTGTAGATGAAACTAATGGAAGGAAGGCTGATTTTTGTGATGGACTGGACTGTGTTCACGACTCTAATTTCTTGCGATCTTGGTCGGAGCAGTTGCCACACCAGGCTGTGATGCATCCGGGTAGGAGGCTATGGTGCATCTCTTTTTTTTAAGAAAGATTGGTAAGACTCATTTGTGGATATCCTGAATTTCTTTAGACTTTTGAGGAAGTAGAGGTGTTTGTATGCCTTGGCAGTAGCTTTGTGGATGGACTAGGATAGATCTTTGGTGATAATTACTCTTAGCAACTTTGAAGCTCTTGACTACCTCCACCTCAACATCATTGCAGGCATGGCCGTGTCCTTGACTCTGCTTGCTGAAGTCCATGACAAGTTCCTTTGTTTTGCTGACATTGAGGGGAAGATTTTGTCTTTACACCATGCTGCTAAGCTGTCTGTCTCCTTCGTATGCTGTGATAACAAGGTGTAGAGCTGGATGAACACAGCAGGCCAAGCAGCATCAGAGGAGTAGGAAAGCTGACGTTTCGGGCCTAGACCCTTCTTCAGAAATGCTTTCTGAAGAAAGGTCTAGGCCCGAAACGTCAGCTTTCCTGCTCCTCTGATGCTGCTTGGCCTGCTGTGTTCATCCAGCTCTACACCTTGTTATCTCAGATTCTCCAGCATCTGCAGTTTCTACTATCTCCTTCGTATGCTGTCTTGACATTGTGATCCGATCCATAAGAGGGGTATCAGCAAATTTCTAAGAGTTGAACTTGGTTACACAGTCATGAGTGAATAAGGAGGATAGTAAAAGGCTGTGTATGCAGCCTTGCAGGCACTGGTGTTAAGGATTATTATGGAGGAGGTGTTGTCAGTCCTTGCTAAACAATGGACCATGCCTCATCACTGTTAATTTGAAAGCATTACCTAAATTTTTCTCTCTAAAGCAGGAAGAGATCTTCCCAGTCTTTGTGCTGCTTCCCCACTTCCTTGTCCTCTGAGACTGACACTGTAGTGGTCATGGCAAGGAATGACATGATTGAGCAGATGAGTGAAAGGTAGGACTGGATGGGCTGTTATGGACTGAGGTGGAATTGGGAGCATGGGTTAATAAGGTTGTGGAGAGTAGACTGGGATGAGTATAGATACGCAACCAAGTTGGAATGAATGGATGCTAGGGGCTCATCTAGAGAAAGACTGCTATCATTTTAATGAATTGTGTGACCTGTTTTGCCTGTTTGAAAGAAAGCTACATTTTGAATAAGAAATGAGTCTATGACATTTATTGATGCAGTTTAATATGCAACTGATCATCCAAAGAATCTTTACAATATATAGAGAACACAGGTGACTGTATACTACATAGATTGACTGGCAAACCGTGGTCCATGGGATTGGGATCAGCAAACTGTCTTGGGCAGGAGTCAACTTTTGTGTTCGATACTGTCAGGATGTAACGTATAGTTTAATACAGTTATACATCAGTTGGTGGACAGCAGAAATTTGGGGCTGTACAGTGTTATAACATTTAAAACAGATATATCAAATAAAATATCAGAATGTGACTGAGGTCTTTTGTGTCAAGTGGCGGACTTTGTATCTTCCATAGTCATGATACAAAAGTTTGAGTGATCTTGTCTGAGGAGCACCCTACATATTTTCCCTAACACTTGTCTGTTTGGGGTACATGGATATTGGGCTTCCAGCAGTAACTCGCCACATATTTCACATTGAATCTAGAAAGGAGGATTAGAAATTTACTGTGATATCATTTGTGATCATGTATGTCCTGCAGCTTGATTTCTGTCTCCACCTTAACACTCTCACAACTACTGTATAGTGATCAATGGGGCAGGGGTTTGGGGGTCTGGTGGGAATCCCTGGCTGATTTAAAGCATCTCCTTCTCCCTTGACCTTTTGTGTTGAAGCAAGCTGAAGCAGTCCAATGTATCCAGCAATTACAGCTCTATGATCCCTTTGTGCTAGTTACACTCTGGGCCTTTGTCTTAGTAACACTTCGGGAGTGTGTTCACGCTGGAGCCCGCTCATTCAAGATATGAGGGATGGTTTCTCAGTGCAATATTCACTCAGCACCATTGCTTGTTAATGTATTATCGATATGCAACACTCCCATCACCTCTTAGTAACCTCACTTGGCCAGGTAGACAGACAACGGTATTACCACTGCAACATGTGCTCTGGGTGTGGGAGAACGTGAGGCAGACCTTTCCAGGACTGAAATTCCAACTACTGCAGTATCAGAGCCTGAGAACTGGCCAATCAAATGTGAAAACAGCAACCAATTGCATTTAGGGGAGCTTGAAGGTAGGACTTGAATTTCAGCACACATTGGACAGTGTTTGCCCAGCTTTCAGAGGAGAAAGACATGTGATGTGCAAGAGGGACTGCAAATGCTTGAGCGGAAACGTGAGAACTTAATTGTTTCAAGTGTGTGAAAACTTGCACACAAGTTGGAGAGCCAGGGGGAGAAACAGTGAGAGAGAACAACAATTTCTAAGACTGGATGACAGCCCTGAGTGCAGACCAAGGAACTGATGATCAGTAGTTGATCTGATCCCTTTGGCAGAATGCTGCATTAAATAGTGAAAAGTCTGAAAAATAATTCAGAAGTGTGATCAGCTTCATTCACAAGAATTAGATTAGAAGTAACTGTCACATGAGGGGATTAGAGGAAGAATTAACTTCCATTAGATGTAATATCAATTCATTGGCAAGTTTCTGTTATCTGGCATAATCTGAGGAAACTGTTGTCTTCTCTGGGAAAATGGTCAGTTTTGGGAAACCAGACATAGGAGAAACACGGATCATCCAAGTAGAAATACCTAGTAGTGCACAATCTCTCATCACTTCATCCGATTCTTCAAAGGTTTTCCTTTTAACTCTGCATGATTTGAAATTAATTGTCCTTTTCCTACTTTGACCATGTGACCTTTTAGTGGAAGCATCCCTGAATTAACAATTTACTCACACTCCTGTACAACTCAATGAAGCCCTGCAATAACCTCCTTCCAAGGTCAAAAGGTTAGGTTTCCCCTTGCAATGGACTTGTGTTATTAATCAAAGTCATTGGCTACAATGTCAGGCTGCTCTGTATCACACAGTGTTGTGTCTTTGATAGATTTTAAAGATCCCAAGGACTCAGCACAAGAGAAGATCGTTCTCTCAGTGCCCTGTCCAACACTATCAATTCAGCCAATACCAGCACACTACTTGTTATCCCCTTGCTATTGCAAGAGCCTGTTACATACAGGTAAACAGACTGAATGCACTTTGCGATTTAATAGTTGGGCCCAGTCAGTGTCAGTGAGCTGAGCAAATACAGGCCCCACCCATAGGCATCATTGAGCTGGAGGGAAAAATAATCAGCTCATTAGCTGTCAGTACAATTCCCCCCACCAACCTCACCAATCCACCTTCTTTAAAAGGTCGCCACTTTGGTATCACTGAGTTGCAGGAAGGATGGTGTGGTTTGATCAAACATCGCTTAGCAGCTGAAATATTCACACAGTATCCTTGCTCAAGGCTGGTCAATCTTGTTTCTTTGTTGTCTGAATGGACATACCTTTGATACAAAAAACATCTTAAGACAGCAAAATGTCTGATCATGCTGCACTGTTCTTTCACTCTGTCACCCTCCTCCTTTGGTCCTTGCCCCCATCCATCCCCCTGGTGGGTAAGGTGACCTCTTCAGTTCCTCCAGAAAACCTCAGGGCTCCATAAGCAGCTTGTCCCAATGTAATCCCTGAGGATTCACCACCACCTTGGAGTCTGGTCTTTGTCCATTAAATATGATTTATTTTGAATGGGACTGGCCTCCCATGTGAATATGATCTTTTCATTTCCGGCTGGGTTGCATGATGACTGGTGAGGGGGTTTTGAGGATTCAGTCACACGCTCATTGTCATCCTGGGAGAGTACTGCAAAATGAAAGCACAGCACATGAAAGGTTATCACAGAGGAGGCTATTCAGCCCACTGAACACAAACCAGCCTTTGAAAGAGTTGCCCAATTATTTCCACTTCCCTCTTATTCTGTAGCCCTCCAATTTTTTTTTCCATTTTCAGATACCAAGAGACCACCCTCAAAAGTTGATGCAAGAGAAGGTCGTCAATGAAATGTATGACTGGTAGTTTCATCCAGCAACATTGACCGAGGCTGGGAGAGTTTGTATTAATTCGATGAAAACAGCCATAAGAGGGAGGGGTGAGAGAGCTGTAGCCAACTTACACTTTCATTTTGGAATGGGTTTAAAAAGTTTCCTGCCAGCTCGCCATCATCACGAGGTGTTTCCGGGGGATTGCTCATCCCAGTCATATTGTTTGGTGAATTCTAAAATGACAAGGATGAGGAGCATTGATCATTGATGTACTAACATCCAAGGAGTTGTGATAATTCATTCACAAGGTTCACAGTATTACCACACCCCTAGCCCCTAACCTTTCCATCAAATACCACCCCTCTTAATCTCCATAGTAAACTCCATGTGTACATGAAAAAACAAGAAGAATTAATCCAGCATGATTCCAAACTAACATTAGGAACTGATACAGGAAACTGAAAACATGGCAGCAAGCAGGCACTAGATGGAGACTGAATATGAGTTTGACACATGCTTTTAAATGTACGTCTGTCACAGAGTCATACAGCATGGAAACAGGCCCTTTGGTCCAACCAGTCGATGCTGAACATAATCCCCAACTAAACTAGTCCCACTTGCCTGTTCCTGGCCCATATCCCTCCAAGCTGTTCCTATTCATGTACTTATCCAAGTGTCTTTTAAACATAGTAATTGTATCCGCATCCACCACTTCCTCAGCAAGTTCATTCCACATGCAAATCACCTCTGTGTAAATAAAATTGCCCCTTGTCTTTTTTAAATCTCTCGCCTCTCACCTTAAAAATATACCCCCAGTCTTGAAATCCCCCAACCTAGGGAAAAGACATCTACCATTAACCCTATCTACACTCTCATGATTTTATAAACCTCTATAAGGTCACCTCTCAATTCACTGATCAATTCACTGCTGCCTGTGCTTACTTGCAGACAGATCAAGATTCGGGGGTCTTTATGGCACAGATATGACAGAAACACTCTCTCTGACTGGTCGTTGTTTCAAACCGAGCTCCCAGCTGAGCCTGAGGAGTGCTACAGCCCAACTTCTGGTGCAAATGTGGATCCTGGGGCTGTAACCTGCCTCATACAGACAGGAAAGCCTGTAATCAAAGCTGAGGTTCCCAGTACAGTGCTGAAGGAATGCTGCACTGTCTACAATGTTGTTTTTGGATGCAGCACATTGGCCTGCTCGGATGGGAACAAAGGATCCTATGGCTATTATTTTGAAGAAGATCTTGGGGGATTTCCTGGTGATCTGGATATTTATCCTTCAACCCACATCACTAAATATGGCACCACTAATCATTATCACTATCATTATTTCTACGTACAAATTTTGCCAAAGTTTCCACACACAGCATTTATTGCCCATCCCTAGTTGCCCCTTGAATGTGGTGATGAGCTGCCTTCTTGAACCGCTGCAGTCCATGTGCTGTAGGTTGACCCACAATGTCCTTAGGGAGGGAATTCCAGGTTTCTGACCCAGTGACACTGAAGGAACGATGATTTATTTCCAAGTCAGAATGATGAATGGCTTGGATGGGAACTTGCAGGGGGTGGTGTTTGCATGCATCTGCTTCCCTTGTCCCTCTAAATGGTAGAGGTCTGTCTGGAACACACTTTCCAAGGACACTCTGAATTTCTGCAGTGAATCTTGTAGATGGTACACACTGCTGATACTGGGCATCGGTGGTAGAGGGAGTTGATATTTGTGGATGTGGTGTCTATCAAGCAGGCTGCTTTGTCCTGGATGGTGTCAAACTTCTTGAGTGTTGTTGGAGCTGCACTCATCCAGGCAAGTGGGGAGTATTTCATCACACTCCTGACTTGAGCCTTGTAAATGGTAGACAGGCTTTGGGAAGTCAGGAACTGAGTTACTTGCTGCAGTATTGCTAGCTTCTGACCTGCTGCTGTAACCACAGAATTTATATGGGTGGTCCAGTTGAGTTTCTGGTCAGTGGTAAACCCTAGGATGTTGATAGTGGAGAACTCAGCAATGATAATTCCATTGAACGTCAAAGGGAGACAGTTAGATTCTCTCTTCTTGGAAATGATCAATGCCTGGCACTTGTGTTGCATGAATGTTACTTGCCACTTGCCAGCCCAAGCCTGGATATTGTTCAGATCTTGCTATATTTGGACATGGACTGTTTCAGTTCTGAGGAGTTTTGAGTAGTGATGAAGCAGCCGAAGATGGTTGTGCCTCAGACACTATCCTGAGGAACTCCTGCAGAGATAGCCTGGAGCTGAGAAGACCGACCACCAACAATCATAACCACCTTTCCTTGTGCCAGGTATGACTCCAACCAGTGGAGAACTTTCCCCTGATTCCTGGGGGGGATCTGTTAACGCTCCCTGACTCCATTATATCAACAGCAGACATCCCAAGAATGAATGAAAGAAAATGTTGAGGTGAAGTGTGGCAGAAGGAGGCTGGTGTCAATGTAGGATAGGTCAGTTGTGTCGAATGGACTGCTGTAGACTCAATAAAATAACAGGCCAGAGAAATAAACAACCCAGGAGCTGCAGCAGCTTTGAACTTACCTTTGACAACCCATCCATATCAGCAGTACCTGCAAAAGATAAAGTGACAATCAGACACCTATAGGCCTACTGCAGACCTGAAGAACCCTCTCCATAGGGGCTGCTAGACAGGCTGAATTTCTCCAGCATTCTCTGTCTTTGTTAAAGATTACTATACTTCAGGTCCAGGGTTGAATTACTCTGTGTTACCCAAGATGCAGAGTTTGATCACCTCCTGTTAAAAAGTTAGGATAAGAAATTAGTGCGGGAACAGGTCAAGTTCGCTCGACATTGAAGATGGTTATGGCCAATCTTCTCCATTTCCCTTGATTCCCTGAGTGGCGAAAATTCTGTCCATATCAACATTAAGCATATTCACTAATTACAGCATCCCCTTCACTCTGGGGTAAAGAATTTCAAAGACTCATCACCTGGTGGGTGAAAGGATTTCCCTCCATCTCAGTCAGAAATGATCAGCTCCTTCTCCTGAGACTGTCCTCCCAGCCATGGGAAATAAACTGTCAGAGTCGATCCTATTGAGATCCTTCTTAATTTTTCCATTTCCTGAAGTGGTAATGTTGTGGTAATGTCACGAGCAACCAGAGAACCCCAGGTTCATGTCCTGGGGACAAGGGTTCGAACCCCAACCCAGCAGTTAGTGAAGTCAAAATTCAATAAAAATCTAATGATAACCATGTGACCACTGTCAGTTGTAAAAACTCATCTGGTTCAATAATGCATTCCTACACCCCACTGAATTATCAATGTTTACACATTCAACACTTTTTTAGACAGTTAAATGTATCAGTGATTACATTGAAGACACAGCAATGTTGATCTTTATGGTAGTAAATGCTAATGGCTCTTCATAGTTCTATTAAGAAAACTGACATTTCATTTAGAAAGAAAAATGCATCTTACTTATTGCTGAATGTTTATACCTGTTTCCAGGGGGGAGAATGATTTCTATCCTGCCTTTCTCAAAAAAGGATTATAAATTCATTCAGACAGAGAAACCAAGGTACACCATCATAAAGTCTGTATTACTCCAGGTTAAGGTGTGTATGACTCTGTGTTTCTGCAGGCTAAGTCTGTATAACTCTATGTGACTCCATGCCACATGGTGTTACCTAGTGTCCCGTTCATATGATGAGGCTCCATGCCTGCCATTCCAGCCAATGAACCCTCAGCTCCTGGACCCATCTGGAACTGAACGAGAAAAGGTTTGATTAGATGATGAGAATGGGAAACCTGAGGCTGATCTTGTTCACACTCTGAGCCACTGCAAGTTGCCTGTCATTGCAATATTAGATCTTACAGCATTCACTCATTGACCAGTGTGTTCAGTTGGACACTGTCTCACCTCTCAGCTATTGAGCCCTTCAGTTACACTGCAACTTGGTGTGGTACTGTGGGATGATGATAACTGTCCCCAAATCACTGTTTAATCCCTGAAGTCCTGGGGCCAGTATTTACTTTCCAATAAACATCACAGAAACAGATTCTCTGGTTATTATCATATTACTGTTTGTAGGATCTAGCTGACACATTTCCTACAGCAATTACACTGAAGGGAATTTCTTCAAATCTTAACAAAGTGGATGATTGCAATTTCATTCTTCCTCCTGACTACAATTTGCATTTGTGTAGCACCTTTAATGTCATAAATGTCCCAAAGTGCTTCCCAAGAGGATTATTAAGTAATATTTGATACCTAGTAACAGAAAGGGATGCTATTTGGGTGATTAAGAACTTTCAAAGACTGTCTTACAGGAGAAGCAACTGGTGGAGAGATTTGGGGAGGAAATTCCAGGCAGGTGTAGGTGAGGCCACAAATGGCTCAGCAACGAAAATCTGTGCTGGATCAGTGTAGGGAGGGATGTGGGTGCCAGAGGAGGTTACCTAGATAGGGAGGGGTTTAGGGGCTGGAGGAGGTTAGAGAGATAGGGAGGGGGGTTAGGGGCCGGAGGAGGTTAGAGAGATAGGGAGAGGGTTAGGGGCCGGAGGAGGTTAGAGAGATAGGGAGGGGGGTTAGGGGCTGGAGGAGGTTAGAGAGATAGGGAGGGGGTTAGGGGCCGGAGGAGGTTAGAGAGATAGGGAGGGGGTGTAGAGGCTAGAGGAGGTTACAGAGATAGGGAGGGGGTGTAGGGGCTGGAGAAGGTTACAGAGATAGGGAGGGAGTGTAGGGGCTGGAGAAGGTTACAGAAATAGGGAGGGGTGTAGGGCTGGAGGAGGTTACAGAGATAGGGAGGAGCATAGCGACTGGAGAAGGCTACTGAGATATAGAGGGTGTATTGGAGCTGGAGGAGGGTATAGGGCCATGGAGTGATAAGTCCACAGAATGATTGCTAACTGGGATTTAGAATACACAGGATTTTGAATGAGCTGAGGATTACAGAGGGTAACAGTTGGGAAACCAGGCAGGAGTACCCTGGAATAGTCAAGTGCAGAGATACCAATATCGTGGTGAGTATTTCTACAGGCAATTAGTCAAGAGCTGAGTGGAGATTTACTGGTTGGGAGTATGTTCCCTCGTCCTGATCTTTGCTGGTTACAGTCTCATTGGTGTCAAATGCAAAGGCAGTCAGCGAAAGTCAGCAGAATATTTAACTGCAGCGTGCATCATAGCCAAACCTGTCCTGAGACTGGAAAGTTCATCAGGAGCAGGAGGCCAGGCTAACAAAACCAGCCTCCGCATCTCACCTTAATCCAGAGGTACTGAGGCCAACAACAAACAGCTGAGGAAAAGATTTATGTGGCCTTATGATCCAATTAAACCATTTGGCAGCTGTACCCCGGCTCGACCCGTCACTGGCACAGACTTACACTGGAACGGCTGCCTGCTGCTCCCAAGGGCGCAATCATCGTGTACATGTTCTCACTGGAGTTTGTGGAGTCTACCAAGAAAACAACAGAAGCTGCAGGTGAATGGAAACAGGTCACAACGGAGGTGAAACAGTGACACTTGTCAGAATTTTGAAAAATGGATGTTCAACATGATTTCATTTGTATGTTGTGCTTGATCCCCTGTTAGCGGTAGCGTTCCCTGAGCAGTGCCAACACCTCTAGGTCCAAATGCAGCTGAGACCAGTGGGTTAATAGTGCCCCATGACCCTTCCTCCCCAGCTGAAAGGGAAACAGCTTTACACTGTCTTTGTGTCAACCCGCACAAACATCAGGCAAACTCAGTGAAAACCTGAAATCTCACCTACAGCCACAGACTGAGAAGGGAAATGTTAGTGTGGTGCAGACTTTACTCTGTATCTAACCCCGTGCTGTCCCTGTCCTGGGAGTGTTTGGTGGGGACAGTGTGGAGGGAGCTTTACTCTGTATCTAACCCTGTGCTGTCCCTGTCCTGGGAGTGTTTGATGGGGACAGTGTAGAGGAAGCTTTATATTATAAACACTGTTTGCCTCCCCACCACCCCAATGTAATTCTCCCATTCCCACTGTGCTCTCTCTCACTCTCTGGCTACAATGATCATTGGAAACAGGCCTCTTACCTGCTGGGCTGGGAATGATTGATGTTCCTGGCAGGCCACTGCTGGGGGCTCCCTGAGAGAGGAAATGTCACATTATTCCAAAAAGACTCATAGAGTCATCGAGATATAGAACTGTACAGCATGGAAGCAGACCCTTCGATCCAACTCGTCCATGTCTACCAGGTATCCTAAATTAATCTCATCCCATTTGCCAGCATTTGACCCACATCCCTCTAAACCCTTCCTATTCATGTACACATCCAGATGCCTTTTAAATGTTATAATTGTACCAGCCTCCACCACTTCCTCTGGCAGCTCATTCCATACACGCACCACCCTCTGCATGAAAAAGTTGCCCCTCAGATCCCTTTTAAATATTTCCCCTCTCACCTTAAAGCTATGCTCTCTAATTTTGGACTGCCCTACCCTGGGAGAAAGACCTTGGCTATTCATCCTATCCATGCCCCCTCATAACTTTATAAACCTCCATAAGGTCACCCCTCAGCCTCTGACGCTCCAGGGAAAATAGCCCCAGCCTATTCAGCCTCTCCCTATAGCTCAAACCCTCCAACCCTGGCAACATCTTTGTAAATCTTTTCTAAACCTTTTCTAGTTTCACAACATCCAACCTATTACAGGGAGACCAGAATTGAATGCAGTATTTCAACAGGGGCCTAACCAATGTCCTGTACAGCTGTAACATGACCTCCCAACTCCTATACTCAATGCACTGACCAATAAAGGCAAGAATACCAAATGCCTTCTTCATCACCCTGTCTACCTGGGGCTCGACTCGAAAGAGACCCAGAGCTGGAAAGCAGGTGACAGTGCTTTGTGGGTGGGTGGGGATGGTGTGTCCAATCAGATGAATGGGGGTGGAGGGCATGGCTGCAGGTTTTATCGGGGGGGAGCAGTGTCTGGGACACGGTTTGTGTGGCTGGACAGTGAGGGGAAAAGGGGGTTCAGGAGTTAGGAGGGAGGGGGAAAGGGAAGGAGAGGGGGACAGGGAGGGGAGAGAGGAAAGGGGAGAGGCAGAGGGAGGGAGGAGAGGGATAGGGAGAGGGGAGAGGACGAGCAAGAGGAAGAGGGAGATAGGGGAGGGAGAGGAGGAGGGAAAGGGAGGGGGAGAGGGATGGGCAGAGGGAGAGGGAGGGGGAGAGGGGAGAGGGGAGAGGGATGGGGAGAGGGACAGGGAAGGGAAGAGGAAGAAAGAGATGGGAGAGAGAGGGGGATGGGGAGAGGGAGAGGGAAGGGGAGAGGAAGGAGGGGGAGAGAGGGGGGAGAGGGATGGGGAGAGGGAGATAAAGTGGGAGAGAGAGTGGGAGAGGGAGAGGGGAGAGAGAGGGGAGGGGGAGGGGAGGAGCGGGGATGAGGGAGATGGAGAGGGAGAAGGAGGGTGAGGGGGAGAGGGGAGAGGGAAGGAGAGAGGGATGGCTGGATGGGAGGGGAGAGGACAAGGGAGGGAGAGGAATAGGGAGAGGGGTGGAGGGAAGATGGACAGGGAGAGGGGAGGGGGCAGGAGAGGGAGAAGGAGGGTGAGGCGGAGAAGGAGAGGGGAGAGAGAAGGGGAGAGCGAGAGGTGGAGGGGCAGGGAGAGGCAGAGGGGAGGGGAGAAGGGAGTGAAAGGGATAGGGAGAGGGAGGGGAGGTGGAGAGAGAGATGGGTGAGAGGGCGAGGGAGAGGAAAGGGGAGTGAGAGATGGGAGGGAAAGGGGGCGAGGGGAGAGAGGGATGGGGAGAGGGAGGGGGAGAGGGAGAAGGAGAGGGAGGTGGCAAGGGGAGAGGAAGAGGGGAGAGGCACGGGAGAGGGGATGGATAGGGAGGGGGAAAGGGTGAGGGAGGGTGAGAAGGAGTGGGGAGGCAAGAGGGGGAGGGGAGAGAGAGGGAAGGGGAGAGGGAGAGGGGAGGGGAGAGGGAGAGGGGAGGAGAGACGAGAGGAAGAGGGACAGGGATGGTTAGAGGGGAGGGGAGAGGGAGAGGAGAAGGAGAAGGAGAGAGAGAGAGAGGGGAGAGGGAGATGGAAAGGGGAGGGAAGAGGGAGAGGGAGGGGGGGAGGATGTTGGGAGTGGGAGAATGAGGATGAGGGAGCGGTAGGGAAGATGGAGAGAGGAGGGAGAGGGGGAAGGACAGAGAGAGGGGGAGGGAGGGTTACGGCTGTCTGTGGTGAGGTGGGGAGGGAGATGTGGGAGGAAGCGGGATGCAGGGACCTGGCCTCCATCCTAGCAGTGGAGGGCAGGGGAGGATGAATGGAGGAGAGTGGGGAAAGGAGGTGTTGATTTGGGGTATGTTTGAAATCGGGTTGATCGACTCACCACATAGCTGCCTGGTGATGATGAGGAGTATGGAATCTAGGGCAGAGAAAGAGAAATTATTAATGTTCGATCATTCTTAGTAACAGGTCAGTCCAGGAGAACAGCCAAAGTGTGTAATCTCAAATATTATCCACATCCTGAACGCTCATCTGCTATTTTTTAGTGTGAGGCTGGAGGCAATTGGTAAAAAATATAACTGTGTGAATAAATCCACCGATTGTTAACTGGTTGGAGACACTTGGAACGGTCCCTGTGCAGTTAAATATTTATTTCCTGTCTGAGCAGGTGCTGTTGGCTCGCCCATTACTCACAGAGCTTGTGTTCACTGGGTTTGGCCAGGAGCGTCCTCCTCCTCCCCCTGGAGCCCTGCAAAATAAACACAACCGAGTTACAGAGATCACAGGTAATCCCAGAGCATACCACAGCTCAACTCACCAGTTCCAGACCACAGGAGATCCACACTGTGAGAGGATTCACACTGAGAAGGGATCCACAGTGACAGGGGATCCACACCAGGATGGGATCCATTCCGAGAGAGGAGATCCACACTGAGACAGGATCCACACAGTGACAGGGGATCTGCACTGTTAGAGGGGATCCATTCTGCGATAGGGGATCCTCTCTGAGGGGATCCACAGTGATGGGATCCACCATAAGGTTCCCTCTCTCTCAGTCACAACTTTTCCATCCTCCTCCTCCATCTCAGAGCTCTCTCCCTCAAACCCCTCTCTTCCTTGTTACAAAGCACCAAAACCCCAAGTTTGTTTTCATCTTCCCTGCCAACAACAAAAGACTAAAACTAACAATGTGGTCACAGCCATATTTCTATTTGTGGGATCTCACTGTGCACAAACTTTGAGCCATGATTCCCAGGTTATGATAGTGATGACACTTTCAAAAGGACTTTTTTGGCCATGAAGTGCTTTGGAATATTCCAAGGTTGTGAAAGGTGCTATAGGAATGCAAGTTATTACATTTTCTCTTGGCTTTCGCATTAGAACCAAGTAACACTTGCATCACATCAAGAGACCATTGGACCCATCATGACTGGGATAGCTCTTTATAATCCAAAACAAAATAAATGAGATTGCACTCTGTATTAGGAATGGTCTCAAAAAGGAGGATGGATCAATTTCATCAAGATTATTTGCTGGAGGAGCAATGAGAGTGGGTACGTGATCAGTAATCAATAACCCGAGGGCAGGATCCTTTTCAATCTGTGCACTGGGTTATTGTTGTCAGGAACGGGTTGCCGGAAAGGGTATGGAAGTCTGGGCTTCCTCAGCGCTGACCCTCTGACAGTGCAGCGCTCCCTCAGCACCTACCCTCCGACAGTGCGGCACTCCCTCAGCACTGACCCTCCAACAGTGCGGCACTCCCTCAGCACTGACCCTCCAACAGTGCGGCGCTCCCTCAGCACTGACCCTCCGACAGTGCGGCACTC